AAGCTCCCGCTATCCCCATGTGGGGGGGTGAGTGGCCGGCAGCCTTTGGTCCTGTCGCAGTGGGCACGCACACTGCCTGCATGCGGTGAGAGGAGAGCAGGCTCTGGCAGCGGGGAGCTCGCTGGGGCACTTGCTTGAAACCCAAGAGGCCCTGGTGAGCTGTGGAGGGAGAGCCCGGTGTTACTGTGGGGTGCCCACCAGCCAGCTTCTGGCCTTTTTCAGCAAGGGCAACTTTTCTCTGAAAAGCCCTGTAGGAGACAGTCTGTGCTTGCTTGCTGCTAGACCGCAGCGCCCGGGATGAACACCACTAGCCAGTCTGCAAGTGGGGGCACCAAATCCCCTGTGCCCCATCTCCCACCCCTGCAGGGTGCCCTCTCCATCCCAGCAGCCTTTGGCAGGCCAGAATTACACGACAATCAGTTACAAAAGTCTGTCCAATGCTACCTCTGCGTCTGCCTGAGGACCCTGTCCATGGAAGCCCTTCCCTCTGGGACGACCCTCCCTCGAGGCTCAGCCTGGTGTCTCTCAGGCGCTGTCAACGCTGCCAAGCCAGTATGCGAGGGTGCTTGGCCTGGGGACTGTTCTCTCTGTGAGCCGGTACTGGTTTACCGCTTGCCTCCTGAGCTGCCTCTCAAGCCACAGCAGGATGAGAAAATGAGTGAGTGGGAACACAAACTGCTACGCCTCATTTGCAGCCTCCACTGGACCTGGCAGGTCGGGGGAAGAAGCTGGTGGATGTAAACCAACGTTTTTCTTTTGTGCTTTCCCCTCCCCCGCTCCTTGTTTAGCTTTTTTAGTATTGACTGCCCAAGCTGAGGAAACCACAAACCAGATGCTCAAGAGCTGCAGGCATCCAGCCACAGCCGAAATTGTGGACTGCAGACCTTTGGCGCCTCTGAGAATTGGTCTCCACGCTGCCTCATGCTGGGCGGGCAATATCTAAGAAACCTGCTAGGAGCACTAGAGCCTCTGCCTCCTCATTTTAGCCCGCCTCTGCACACCCCTGGCAGGCAGCTGGGGACGAGCCCTGCTTTGCACTCTTTCTTTGCAAATGCTTTTTATTTTATTTTATTTTTTTTTTAAGTGTTGAACTGCTTTAAGGCTAGTGTAGAGAAGGTGCCGTTCTGAGCAGTGCTGGCACAACACGCACCAATGTTGATAGAATGATTGTCATTGTCCCTGAATATATATATATATATGAGATGAAGTTTTGTTTTTAATGATTGAATTCATAAATACAAATTTTAATGCTGTATTTAATAAATTATTCTAAGAGAAATGCTGTGCTTTTTCATCCATTTCTGATGCTTATCCATGTGCCTGTTCATGCCAAATCCAGGGATGCACCTTGCTGATTTCTTACCAAATGAAGCAAGATTTTGCCCTCACCAGGAAGGACGGGGAAAACAAGCACGGTGCAGCCTGACTGCAGTGCTGGGCTTGCAGTTCCAGGTGGTTGGAGGGAGTTTGGCACCGCATGAGCTTGGCTCTGGAGAGAGTGGCTGCTGCACTGCTGCTTCCCCAGCGCCATGTCCCAAAGCCGTGGTTTGTCCAAGTGGCTCACAGGTCCTGGGCAGTGCTCTCTGCTGTCTGACCGGAGAGTGGGCTGGTGGGGAGGGAGGGGAGAGTGGCCTCTCCCTTCAGGAGGATGGAAATGGAGCAGCCAAGGTCTGGCTGGAAGGGCTGGAGACCACCAGCCCATGCCCTCTCCTGAAGAGCCATTTCTGTCTGACCGAGAGTGGGCTGGTGGGGAGGGAGGGGAGAGTGGCCTCTCCCTTCAGGAGGATGGAAATGGAGCAGCCAAGGTCTGGCTGGAAGGGCTGGAGACCACCAGCCCATGCCCTCTCCTGAAGAGCCATTTGGAATAAACTTGTTAAAAATGGCAGAAGGCTCCTCCCAACCCCCGCGGTTTGGTGATGCTGTGTCTGAAGCACGCAGGTGTTGCCTCAGTGTTGTCATTGCAAGTAGCCTGAGGTGTGGTCTGTGTCTCGGACACGAGGTTCCTTCTTCACTCTCTGCTCAACTTAATGCTTCTGCCCAGCTTTTATTATTTAAGAGACTCTCCTGTGCCTGGTGGCCTGTGCCTGCCATGAGAAGCATTCTTGTTACACAGGGGTCAAAGGCAGGTGCATGTTAATGGTACATCTCTTCCTCAGTGTTCTTCCTCTTCCTCCCAGTTAGTTGAACCTGTTTTGCCTGGCTCAGCCTGTAGCTCCTGTGGCCTTGCTGGCAGCAGTCCATATCCCTCCTTTCAGGCCTCAATGCAAATCCCTTCCACACCTCTGGAAAAATTCCTGTGAGCTGTCAGTGCTTCTGGAGGTGCTGGGTTGGGCTACAGGCTCCTGACCCAACTGGGGTCTGGAAGAGGCAGCCTGGGCCGTGACTGGGTTCCTGGTTCCTTGTTCTCCAACCCTGAAGCTGAGCTGCTGGTGGTGGGTCCAGCCCACGTTCCTTGGCTGGAAAACCTGAATGCTGTTTGGTTACTGTGGCCAGAGCCACTGGGATGCCCTTCTAGACCCCCAGTCTGCCGTCCTTGTTTAACATTTACAGCTGGGAATGCCCCGTCATGGTGGAGACTGTGGGGAGGAGAGGCCAGCTGTATCTCAGACAGCTCCTGTGTTGTACCCCGCGTCTTGGCAGTGCTCCTGTGCACCTGAGCTTGCTCTCCTAAATTACATTTGCTACAAACTGGTC